GTGCAAATAGCCCGCCTTGTTGGCAGAGGCTATTTACACTAACTCCGCCCACCAACGTCTGATTGGAATAGTCAACACTGAAAAAAGACATTTATTAAATATCAGTTTCAGTGGCGTAGATGGTAAGGCGCGTACTTTTTGACGCGATCGACCCGAGTTCGAACCCGCCTTTTGCCGAACGCACTAAGTTAGCACGATTACAAATGTTTACTGAACTGTTTTATAAAATCCATATCACATGAATTTAATTGTATCCTGTAGGGCTATATTAGAACATCTTTCGAAAAGAGTAGAGGTGTGACCATCATGGCCTCCTAACAATCCCCACATCTGCTGATTGGCTTCATCACTCTGTCTCCTCTCCACCAGTAAGCTGGTGTGTGGTCTGGCGCACTATGGCTGCCATTGCATCATCCAGGTGGATGCTGCACACTGGTGGTGGATGAGGAGATCCCCCTCACAATGTAGAGCACTTTGAGTGCCTAGAAAAGCACTATATGAATGTAATTAATTAATTTATCATTTAGAAATAATTTGCCATTTCTCTGTTTGAACACTCTGTTTAAAAGTGTGTGTGCCTCCTTTAAGACTTTAATTTATATCCTTGCTGCTGTGATTGGCTTACATCTTTGCATGTTTATCACTGAACCATATTTGGTAACACTTTAGGATAGGGACCAATTTTCTCTATTAACTAGGTACTTATTATGCCTGTTATTAACATTGGCTTATAAAGCACATATTCTGCATGAGCATATTCTACATCCCTAATCCTACCCAATGTTTTCTAGTCAACAAGTAGTCGACTAATCACATGTTTATATTAATTTAATTGATTAAATATTTACTGGGGGGTAGGCAACTAAACCATAATGAGGTTTTAATATATAGCCTGTTCCACACTCAAGCGCACACCTAAAGCTTGCCACAAAGCACCAGCAAACGTAACGAGTTGATGGGAAAAATAGCAAGGAGATATTTTAATTATTTATTAATAAACTAGTGGTTTCTGAGTCAGTGTCCACTGCAAAGATGAAGTTAGTCTCCGCAGTACATTATTCCATTACCCTTCAAATTGCGTAAATTGAAATTGCGAATTGAAAATATGCCTATTGGAAACAAGACAATTTCGCAAAAACGCCCATATATTGCAAAAGTTTTTACGCTCGCATGAGGTGGTTTTTCAGGCAATACGAAAAAGGAATAATTCGCAAAACTGCAATGGAAACGGCTTTTTTCGCATTTACAGGTCACATGGCGTATGTAAAAAGTCATATGATCATTCTTCAGTGTACTATAACCTCCAAGAAACACATCATACGTGGCCGCTCTCCAGTATAAGGGGCTTTCCCTACTATTAATGCTTAGACAATTTACACTGCACACGTCTGCGGTGCAGTGTGGCTCTGATACGGTCACTGAAGCTGATTGCGGCCACTCAATGCTTGTGTTTATGTTTTTATACAG